GCTAGAGGCTACAGCCCTTGCCCCCCAACCTCTGCACCAACTTGGATACGATAAAATTACTGTGGAGTACGTATAATTCCTTTCAAAATAAATTAAATCTCCCCGTTACTTCCCAAGTGAGGACAGTTACCACCTGCTCACCGACCCCGATATCTTCCCGGAGTGCTCCTGCTCAGTCAGCCAGAACACATTGGGTTTTAACCTCCATTTCTTGTTTGAAAGGTGGTTAAAGGCTCAAGAGTTCTCATTTATTTACGCGGGGAGTTCAAATGTTTGGAACAAGTTTTGGTATCCTTTACAGCTGTACAAACGATAAAGAAAAACCTCTAGAAAATATCAGGTATTTAATTTAGCTTTTTAAGCTAGACAGCATGAAAGTCTGCATCTTTTAAAGGCAGCATTTCTTTCCACAAGAATAGTTATGGTGTGGAGAGTTCAAAACTGAAAGAGCAGAAAACATCATGATAGCTATGTTTTTTAAAAGTCAAAATATTACATTTTTGGTACTTGGTAGATAGGTTAACTATCAGCCATATACATGGTTTGCATAGCTTGCTCACAGCTTCACTCACTACATATACATAATCATACCTTATTTATTTATGGTTCTCCATGTCTCTCACTGCTCTGACAGATATTTCCTACTTGCTTTTGAGTCTCTTACTTATCTACATTCTGCAGAAGAAACAATTAACCCAAGTGATTTTACCAGAACAGTGACTCTTTGCTTTATTTTATCTTAGTAGAATTTAATTCAGATGGATTCATTTACTCTTCCTCTAAGCTGAAAAACAGTAAAAGAATCATGGCTTTAATCTGTTTGCTTTTGCAATGAAAACTCTAGACTCTTAGCTTTTTCTGAGCTGAAATTCTGCACGGCTAAACAACAATTAAAAGTGAGATTAAAAATTAAAACAACAAAGTCTGTTTATAGAAACTGGCCTGCTCTTCCTCCAGTGAGAAGTATGGAAAGACTGCAGAATCTGACACTAACAAAAATGTGTGTCAGAAGCTGACAGATTCAATGTAAGAGAAATACTGTTATAGGAAACTATAACACGGAAGAGAGTTAAAAAGCAGAGATGGGTATTCCTCAGTGTTAGCTCATCACATAGCTAATTTATACGGATAGTCTCGTATGGATCTTCTCAAGGAGTCAAATCTACACTCCTGAGAATTCAGCTGTGTCCTCCGCAGGACCAAGTTCACTGAACTGCTATAATCTGGATAAGAAAATAAGCTTGGCTGGGGAATAACTTGGAAGGCTTCCTCTGTGAGAAGTACTGAGATGAAAGACTACTGTATTCTTGTAGAAGTGTTTTATGTCCTTCGAAAGAATGGGCACGGCAAGAGGGCAAGAAGACAGACACTATTAACTGGCAAGTCAGTTATACAGAGGAAGGATAACGTCAAAGACTAGTACAAAAATAGAACTCATAACAACTAAATTTCAACAATGTATGCCAGATCATGACTACTGATTTTTTTTTCTTTTTTCTTTTTTCTTTTTTTTTAAGAGAAAGTATGTTGCAGGCTTCAGTCCAACTCCTCCTCCTCCTTACTCCAAGGCAAGAGGGATCTCTTAGCACTGCGTAAAAGGCACGCTCTTTGCTGAGCACAGGATAAGCCCATGCACAAGCCATATGCAAACCTGACTCAGAGTAGAGCCACTTAATGTCCCCTTGTGCCTCAGGAGGATGCTCAGAGAATTTGATTTTGCTGTAATTGCTTTGGAGCAACTTCCCTATCTGTCTGACTTAAGGAACAGAATGTGTCTGTGTGCGTTTCGGTGTGCGCATGCACGTGTATGTGCACGCATATGCATGAGATTTACTTTTCTCACAAGGTCTGTATTTTGCTTGCATACAAGCTCTTTACTGGAGCTCTGCAAAGATGTGATTTAGCCCAAAATTACAATGTTAAAATCTGTGGCCCTCTACTTCATAATCCATCTTTTAAAGACACTTTTATCTGTGTTCTTTCGATACACTCAGTAGCCTTTGTGCGTTGCATTTTTTTCATTTGCTTTCAGATTTCTTATTTCTTGCTTCCTAAAAAACTGACAAATTTAAATGCATATTTAAAACAGTAGTAAAAAGTATAGACATATCTCTGCTTGCTTCGGTGTTCCCATTTTCCAGGCCACGCTGCAATAAGGCCTCAAAGATCGGGGCCTCAAAGAAAAGGATCGATTAAACTGAAAACTATTTTTCGTTTTCCTCCTCCCTTTTTAATCTGAAGAAACCTTTTAATCCTTTGTTAGGCAGAAGGAATATACTGAGAAGAAAAGAAAGATCAAAAAGAAAAGGGTCAGAGAGAATGTGGTTTTGAACAATTTTACATGTTTTAATCCAGAGGCAAAAGAGAGGGTGTTTTTTTCCCCCTCAATAGCACCTCGTACACTGGGCAAGTGTTCAGTAGGCAGACAGGAATGTCCACTTGCTACTCTGGAAGCCAAGCCACTTCTGATATCCTGAAACATAAAAATATGATTTCCCAATTCAGCAAGGAAGTGAGTAGGTGAGCCTGAACTGTTGGGCTAGCTTGTCATTTCCATAAGGAACAAACCACATAAAAAGGTAGGCGAAATCCTACCAGAATGCAGCAGCTGGTGCAAGGCCATTAGGCTGCAGTTTTCATGAGGTTGACAGTAGGCCAAGAAACTACAAAATGGCAGAGACGCGGAATAGCAGTTGAAACAGGTTGTACATTGCTGATAATTATTTCTTCAGTGGCAAGGACGCCTGCACCAATATAATCGGAAAAAAATACTGGCATGAATAACTTCAAGAAGGAATTATTGAAATATAAGCTTTAGAGGCAACTAGTCACTACAGATCAATCATGTACAAAAATGAAATATTAACCAGGAAAATAGAAAGGCTTGAAAGTTACCTAGCAGTAAGTAAATACTGCTGTTGAGGATTTAGTATTAAGTACCGCCTGATTTATGGGCTTATGAAATGCTATGTCATTGCAAATGTGAAAGTGATGAGATAAAACACTTAAACATCAAAAGAAAACCAGATAAAATGAGAAACAATAAACCGTGTAGCAAATCTGGTTAACAAAGGAGGCTAGCACCAATATTCTACAGTGATGATAGAAAGGAAAATTATACACACAGTAGGAGAATGCTATCTGTAGCTGTTCAGTCTTCATGGCAGCTCTTTTAGAGAATTAACGATTTATAGAAGAGTAACAGTTCAAAGAATAATGAAAATACGGCATGTTTAAAAACTGAAATGGTACAGAAAACAAGCAATTCAGTTGTGTGTTAATATGAAATAAGAGTGATTAGAGTGAAGGAAAAGAAAATGACTGAAGAGAGCCGAATCTTGTAAAAACTTACAAGATTCATAAGAACTTTAAATATTTGCTTTACATCTCAAAACCAGCAAGTTTTTGCATAAATATGTAACTGAATTTAATCTTTAATTAAAATAGTACTGTTACAATTCCTCATGCCTATAAAGATATTTTCTAAGTGAACAGAATAAAACAAATGCATTCCTTGGAATTTGCAAATGGCCTGGAACAAAAGATGAAATGCAAAGTTGAGACCAAAACCTAATAAGGAAGAAGGAAGAGCACCCCGCATCATTTTAGAATGACAAGTCAATTTACCCAGTGCTGCTGGATGCAAACAGCACAGAATGAAGCGGGAAGCACGGCATGTAATAAAGCTTGTGCCCATATTGAGAACTGTGAAAGTTTCTCCCGCCATAAAGGGGAGCCATGTCATGAGAAAGAGAAAAGGAGCTGTCTTTCCCTCAGTCGTAGTACCATAAACTGCTTCTCACGTACCAGAGCTTCAAACTGCTCTCTGTCATTTCCTCCTCTATAGATTTCCCCCTCTTCTCCTTCTTGAATGAGCCTTCCAGCTTCCTTATGGCAGTTTCATTATTTATAGCCAAATACAAACATTGGAAAAATCACAAATTTAAGGTACCAGTAAAGCAACTTAAACCAGATGAAACTTTAGCACTGAACTGTACTACAGACTGCTAGTTTTCCTCATGTTTAACTCAATAAATTATCCATTCTGAAGCTGCTGTAGCAGTTCCACTTAGCTGTGAAAATTGCAACTGAATTGCCACTGCAAACACATGGCTTGAGCATCACCGGTGGAGTCTGCAAAGCGTATTGGGAACATAAAAAGAGCAATCATGTGAATACGTCTACTAAAGAACTCTAGAGTTTCAGTTATTTGCACTACCGTCTTTATCCCAGGTATTGCATCACCTATTTCTCCAGGAAGTTTTGTATAAATAGTTCATGGCACATGTTGCAAATAAAGACCTACAGCAAAGGGGAAAAATGTATTAAAACTTAATTCTCCATTACTATGTGGTAGGTCTGTTTGGGACACTAGAAGCAGGTGTGTCTAACTTTTTTTTTTTTTTTTAATTTCCTCTCATTTGTTAAGCATACATGTCTCTTAAAACAAAACAGTTTACTTTGTGACCTAAGGTCTAAAGGAACTTATGGCCTATAGGGATTAATTAGTCCCTTGTTGTTCCTCAGCAACAGATTTTGCTGTGTACACTCCCTATAGGAACTCATTGTACAAAGGATGTGCCTTGTGAGGCCAAAACAACGGTGCAACACATTCACAACTGCAACTATTTTTAAACATGACGGAGTTTACCAAAATTCTGAACATTTTTCAGCTTTGCAAGTCCTGCCATACATACTCTTCAGTGGACAGTGGAACAGATTCAGATATAATCCAGATACCCCAAAGCTTTACTTCAGTTTGCAGGTGACTGTTTCAGTGGCATAAGAGCAATCAACTTTCTCGCAAATCAGTGCGTCCTGCTGTGTTTTTAAATAACCTAGCATACTTTTTCTGCGGCATTTATTGCAGATGTGTTCACTCCTTTTGTTCTTCCCATTTAGACAACATAGGAATAGGTCCAGACAATCTAAGAAAATTACCAACCATCCACTTTAATCACAACTGTAAATAACTAGAATGAATAAGTATTGATACTCACTTGATATAGTACGGCACTTTGTTTGGTGAGATCGCCCTCTCCCAGGGGCCTTGGACAGAAGCTGTTAACAATAAATAAACAAATAAATAAATAACTGCACACATACATTCATACATACAAGCATACCTAGAAGAGAAACATGGAGGTCAAGTTCAAAGCAAACAGGAGAGACAACATTAATCTCTGGAATTACAATTTTACACTCGGCCACGGTGATACAGGCCTGTTTGCTCAGTTGCCCGTGAAGGCAGGAAGGATTAATCTGCTGTTCTAAAATTTCTGTCCTAATCTGAGTGAAATTGAACTCATTCAGCTGCAAAGATAAATGCAAAAAACTCCTCGACTACTAAACTTAAAGGAGAGATAACAAGCAGCCTATCTTTCTGCTGTGTTCTTTTATAGGGTGCCTCCTGCTAATCTGTTTGACCGGGCTTTCTTCAGTTCCTTTTCTTGTTTGATCAGCTTTTTTCATCCTTCTAAGAACGAAGTTACACTTTTGTTTACATTTTGAGTGAAGCTATAAAATGAGATGCCAGCCCAGTCTGTTGTTTATCCTCTTGCTTATTTGTTCCAAAAAGAGAAATTTTTAATGTTTAGGTCCACAAATATGAATTGTTTTATAGACTTCCAGTAACAGCAATATCAGTGCGATCACAAAAAAGCAGTAAAATAGAGAAGGCATGACATTACTTACTCTGGACTATCACAGTGTTAAATGTCAACATCAACTTACAATATATCAAAAATCTTTTGGAATAATGTCTTATATAAAACTCTTGTGGGCAAATCAATTTCAAATACTGTGAATTTATCAGAGGTAGAGCTATCTTATATTCCAGGCCGTAATCAGAATTTTTTATTTAGAGTTTGTTATCTTTCAAGGACAATAGGCTCAAGAATTTTCTTTTTCTTAACATAGTCATTTCTTTATATTAGAAGAGGAAGCCGGAAAAAAAATGACTGTTTGCTTCTTCCAGTGTAACCCTTCTTTTTAATGACCCCTGCTGTTCAAAACAGAAAACAATTTCTACCTAGACTCAAGGAGTGGTTAGCTGTTTGGCTCTTCTGGTGCAGAGTATTTTCTTTCTCTCTCTCATAAAAACTATATGCTTTAAAAATGCCACTCCCAAACTGCAGGTGTTTAAGAAAGTCAACAAATCACATTATATAGAAATAAAATTAACCAATATCTGCATTTCTTACAATTTATGCCAGAACTGGTACAATTTGTACCAGCCTCACAGAAGTCAACAATCTGCAGAATGAAATCTCCTGTTCCTCTATTGCTCCCATCCAGGAGTGCAGACAACAAGAGCTGAAGGAAAGATATGAAATGCTGATAAAAACAGCCATATCAGCTCTCTTTATTTTGGTAGACTTGCATACACATGGACCCTGAAGAAAGGCCAGAAGGAGGCTAGGAACCCCACAGAGAAGAGAAATCAAATAGCAGCAGTGGAGTAAGTTGGAGCCATTCTAGATGGTCCATGAAGGCAACCAGAAACAAGGTGCCAACTGGAGAATGAGACAATGCGTTTCCGATGGATTCTAGACAATGCTGAGAAACTAGGCAAGGGAAGTGACATGTCTGGAAGTAATATGATTTTGATAATAATGTTTCATGTCACTGGTGGCCTAGGAGTCCTGGAGAGCCTACCGCAGCATCTTTGTAGGACCTGCCAGTAGTGTCCTCAGCTCCCTGCTACCCATCTGCGGGTAAGCTGACTGTATTGCTTTTCTGCTGCTTACATGTCTGCAGTCTTTATTAGAGAAAAGAGAAATAATATTTGAATGGTTCAATCATGAAAATAGCTAATCTCAATATATTGAGCAAGAAATACAGAATTTGCATTACAATGTTATCTCCCATGGAAAAACAGTACACTGTAATGCCACTGAAGACTATATCATAACCCAAATGTACAAAAGCACAGAACTGTATATATTTTCAAATATAAATATTCAAATACACACATAAATTATATACGATAAAATATCTCTTCTTGGGACAGGGATTGCCATTTTGTGCTGTGTTTGTACATTGTATAGCTGAACAACTATAAAGACTAAGGATGCCATTCATTAAGATGTTCTTTTTGGTAGTGCTAGCTGTAAGTGTAAGATGCACAACTTCTTAGTTTGCGAGTACTACATATATCCTCAAAATATGTCAAGATGTAATCTGTTATATAATTTATACAAATGCAAAAGTATTAAAATAGCATATCATGTAATGTTTTGATTTTAACTACAATAAAACAAGGAAGCACGTCCTTCTCTTTGCTGCAGTTTAGGTGATGTTTCATATAAAGTTCTTATCCATGATGCTTAATTATTCTGCCTACTGGTGAGAACATAAACTGGTGCAAATGTAATTTTGATGACTGATCCAATACTCTCCATAGTCTAAAAGGGGACAGGAAATTAAAGTCAAAGAGTTAGATAAAGGTTACAATTTCATTTTACATTATCAGTGCCTCAGTGATTTCTTTATATGCTGTTATTAAATGATACTAAGCTGTGTGCTAATATGTGGTCCATCAAATATTTTTAAAAGACCTACTCAGTGGCAATGATAAGGTTCCTTGCCCCTAGGACTAGGTATTATCTGAGGACTCATTTGAATAGGATTATACTAAGTTAAAATTTTCTAAAATAAAATATCCCTAAGTATTAAATAGAAAAGGACCTTCTTCCACATCTCTCTCCCAAATAATCATTAATATTCCTAATGAGAATACCAGCGAGCTACAGTTCTTACACTTTAAGATTAGTTTTTAATTAAAAACCTAAAGGATAGAATAGGTTGTTGCATATTTTTTGGAAGGTGTATTTTTTTCCCTTGCTCCTGAATTAATCTCGGTAAGAGCTCTGCCGTCATAACTTATTATCGCAGGAATCTTACATACGATAGTGTTCTTGATATATTAAAAGGGGAAGAAATACCTTGCTTTCATGAGAACTAAGTGCCTTAGAAATAATACACAGTTCTGTGATGTTCTGCATAATTGGATTTAGTGTTCCTTCATGAGATTGTTGTGAAGCTGTCTATAATACACTTTTTGCTCTCCTGGATGCTTCTAGCTGTGCATAAATTTGAGTTGACGAAATATGCAGCACTTTTTACAGCTATGCTAAGATAATAATCATTTTATTTCTGGCCAAAGTTCAAAAACTGAGAACAGCTGTTTCTTATCTCTGTTTACCAGAGGTTTACTACCCATTAACAAAGCTCGTGCAGGTAATGGACATATATCTTTAATTCCTGGTAAGACCATTTGAGTAGTCCATCAAAGCAGTCTTTTTGGCAAAGACTTTTTTATATGATACTATAGTATCCCTGTGCGTTTTCCTATTTGCAAAGTGTAATTCAAAAGTGCTTTATTGCTCTAGCTTGCACAGGGTAAGAATCCATTATCATACACCCGGCTATTTGCAATGCTGTCTACTGAAATTAAATACTACAACAAAGTATGGGGCATTTTAAGAGTTTGCATTTCAACAAATTTTAACAGTTACTTAATTTTGGAGTTTTATTTTTTTCTGTTGCTGTGCTAACATCTAAAACTTGCTTTGCCTATTGTTCAACTTAAGTGAACATGGTTCATGATGGTGAGCCTACAGCCTTATTCGCTTTCGCAGAGCATAATGAAACAGTAGCATGCTGGCTTTCTGAACTTCAGCAGTATTTCAGTCGATGCAGGGATCTGAACAGAATATTAAATAGGATGGTGGTATAATTTTATCTATGCTGATATTGACAAATAATCTGATAAATATTTTACTTTAGTATTACAAACATAATAACAAATACATGGATGTTTACTCAACAGTAAACTATTTCTCCTCCAACTATTCAAAGAGTTAACCTACTATGTCCACAGTTCAAAATTACTCTCAGTGGTACCTATTTAAAAAGCCAGAACACACCTCCAGTCACCATACAATGGCACTAGTGTACATTTTCAGTTCCAAATACAAAGAAAAACTCTTGAGTCTTATTTATCACTTGGGCTAAAGTACTGGGAAATGGTTTTAGGATAAAAATCACATAGTATCACTACATAGTACCCACACTCTGTATACTGTTACGTATATCCTATCAACTCTTTTTTCTTAGATAGTTTTTACATTTACTATTCGTGTGTTCCATCCTTGTGAGAGTTGGAGCTAAGCTCATTTATATGTTCACACTCAAGACCTGTACTACCTTCTTGTCGGCCTCTGTAGCCGTAACTCAGTAAGGTACTCACTTATTTTCGTATTTTAATAATGCTGGCATTTCACTGATTCAGCCTAGGAACTCTCCCTGTCTGGCTTCCTATTTCTCTACCTTATTTCTCTGCTAATTTCTCATTAGTATCTCTATGCAAACATATAGCTAGAATTTCTTCATCTTCATTGTTTATTTCTTCATCTTTCTTTAATTTGTTTTCTAATCAGTTATTTTCTCTGCAGCAAAGTATGGAATGGATGACTTCTGACAAAAGCAGGTGGCGATGACAAAACGATGAGCTACTCTTTGGGCGTGGAAAGACTTTGACTCCCTAAACTCAGAAGCTCACATGCGTATAGGGTACCTTATCCTTTCAAAAAAGATATATTGAATACTAGCCCAGTTATTTTCAAATGAGACCATCATAAATGAGAAACTGTTGTTCTTTATAGACTTTAAAGAGCTTATGCTTCTCCTCCCGAGAGAATATACAAAATCTATATTTTCCCTCCATAATCAGTTCATGTTACATGCTGGCAGGATGCCATCTCCAACAGGAATGCCTGCATGACAGTGGCACAATAGAAGGATATGCATAATCTATGAAGTTCTTTGAGATCCTTTGCAATAAATGGCAGTATGCACCTGTAATATATGAAAATTTTCAGATTTATAGAGAGACGATTTCTAAATTATGTACATTTAGTATTGTACTAAGTGAGACTGAAGACTGTTAGACTGTGTTGGGTAGCACTAAGGTCTAATGCTGCACCGTGTAGCTGAGCAACTGATGTCAGAAAATTGTAACTGTGCAATTTAAAAGTTCAAAGGCAGAAGCATCAGTC